ATTTCTAGAATGTGTGTGTTAACATCGCCCACTAAAAAACACCAACAAACTAACATTTTCTAGAAGAACTACGATTTTCTGATTCCTTCACTAGATGCGTAGGCAAAGGGTAGCGAGACCCTCATAAACGTAATAAAAAACCATTTCCTTCCCCCTAAGCAAGTATAGTTATAGATAAACACACCCTTAGAAACAAACAAACATAATGGATACCGTTGAGTACAACAGATGTGAGGGGTGGTACCTTCCCCTTGCATAACCGACTCCCTTACCATTTCTCTTGGTCGCAAGACCATCTTATCCATCCTCTTGTGGTTTTCTCGATATTTCCCCTTCCTCCGGGATAAATAAAGTTCGATGGCGGCTCTTGTTATCTGTCGGTAGCTTCAGCTGACGACTCTGTTGAGGACTTCTTTTGCGAGTCTCTTCTAGTTTTGTTTATTTGTCTCTTTGTGTATTTATTTATTTACTTTATTTATTTTACCGCTTTATTTATTGGCTTTATTGTTTACTTTTTTGTATATAATTGCATTATATTATGGATACTCACATATTCTGGATATGGTGTTTCTTTTGTGATGTTGGGTTTGGTGATTACTTTTGATAAGTCCTATACCCGAACTTGGGTTAAACCTAGGATTAAGACGGGCGATATAGTCATGTTAACTTTGAGGGAGTAATCCTGAAGAAGGAGGCATGAAAATCCCCCACTCAGTGGAGGTCCCCTTTGTAATACAGTGGAAGAACTAACTTGGGTATTTTGCATTTTATCGCAAATGTTGCGGTTAGCAAGAGTCGTCACCGACTTTTCTTTTATCCAAAAGGAAAGGCTGAAAAGAACATGAAAGACCTTTGATATTATTTCTTGATTTCGGGGGGTATATTATGAAAAGGGAAGGTGTTAGTACCCTTTTCATCCATAGTTATCTATGGACTCTTAGTTGCTTGCTAGATCACTTGCTTTTGTTTGAAAATGTGCTTTGTGTGGTTTTTTGAAAGTATTTTGAAAATGCGTCATCGTTTAGGCAAACTTTGTAATAGTTCTCGTTCGTAAGAACGTATACAAAATGTTAAGCTTTTGAAAATATTTCATGTTTGGAAAATGTTTTGAAAGTGTTGGTGTTGGTTTTGAAAATAAGCAAGAGTGTTTGATTTGAAATTGAGCAAGCAACTAGGAACAATCTACCTACTCAAAAGTCTTAGTTCATTTCTTCCTTTCCTTTGATATTGCAATCTTACCATTGATTTGGTAAGAAGTCCTATCTTTGGATGTAAAGGGACATGCGTGGGTCATCGTATAACCATGATAGCAATGTTGTGAAATATCTTAGCAATTCTCATTGAGGGACTAAGATCATTTTGAAAGGCAACATTTGATAGCGTCATCGAGGGACTATGATCTTGTATTTTTGATTGCTTTTTGCTAAGATACCCCACATGCATAACATGGCCATTTTTGTACGGCAACAAAGTGGAATTACCCTAAGGGTGCAAGTGTGCAAATGTGTTGATTTACATGCATTGTTTTGTCTTGAATTAGGGTTTGCTAACTTGTTGATTTTATCTTTCCATACAAATCATAATTTACTAGCATTTATATAAAATGATAAATTGAGGAAAGTAAAAATACTAAACTATTACATCATTAGGGGATGGGGTATACAAATTTACAAATGGGGATTTTTGCAAGAAAATTAAACCTAATTAACTATTACAACCATATTGAATAAATGTACAAGAATTGAATAAATGATATGCAAATGCAAATGGATAAAGAAAATGATTTTGTTTGGATTTTTTATGAAATGGGTTTTAATCTAAACCTAATTAAGAATATGATTAATGAAAATTAACTAAAATTAACTTAAACTAATTAAGAAAAGAAATTAATTCAAAATGGTTTTTTAGGATTTTTTATGTAAAGGTTTTAAATAATGAAAATAACATGAGAATTGACTAATTAAAATAAACCTAAGTTCTAAATTAATTTTAAATAAGAAAATAATATAATATAATAATTAAACCTAAGTCTAAAAATTATTATACAAGAAATAAATTAATTTGTTGAGAAAATGCTTTTGGTCTTTTTGTTTTATGAAGAAAAATAAAATATATAAGTGTAAATAAATAATTTTTTTATATTTTTATATTTTTTAATAATAAAAATAATAATGATAAAAAAAATAATGATAAAAAAAAATAATATGAAAAATAAAAAATGAAATAAAGGAAAAGAAAAATGAAATAATATAATAAGGAGCCAGGGGTGTATGAGCAAACAACGGTTAGGAGTCAGAAAAAAATAAAAGCCCAAAGGGGACAGGCCCAAGCGCTGTTCAAACAAAAAAAGAGAAAACATAAAATATGAAAAAAGGCAAAACAGACGTTGGGACTCGAACCCAGGTCCTAAGGGTGACAGGCGCGCGCTTTAACCATTGGGATGGTGATACATCTGTTAACTTAAACAAAACAACAAATATATGATACAAGTCTTGCCCTGACTGTACTTCATCTTCAACCTCCAGCTAAAGGATCTGTAACTTATTCATTTCTCATCCATTCACAAAACTTCCAACATCAAACTTGTTAGAAATTTCCTCACGATTCTGAATATGTAAATAACTTAATCTAATTCTCAAAGATGAGCATGAATTTCTAACAGTACCAAATTCTGACCTAAATATTTTCAGAGATTCAAACTCAAAATTCTCCCTACTCAAGCAACATAAATGAAATCTATGGACATGTATAGTTTCAGGGTAATGATGTCTACATTTTATCTTCACAAATGCAAGCCTAACAATACCTAAATAATGAGATAGAAGTTCAAGAAAAATACCTCAAAAATGGAAATCGTGAAATGAGTTTGAGTTTGTTTCAAGTGATGGTGATGATCAGGTTAGCTTCCTTGAACCTCTAGGAAGCTAATGCAATACCTGACTTGAACTGAGAGAGGCTGTAATGGTCTGGAAAAGTCCAACTGCAATGCTCTGTTTTTTGTTATGGAGGATGATGGAAATGGAGTTACAGTCGTGTAACAGGGACACGGATGATTTGTATTTGATGCGAGGAAGATTTTGAAACTAAAAGGCCAAGAAACGCACGAGGGAAATGAAAGTTTGAAGTTCTTGGTCAGAATGTACAACAATGGTGGTTTGTGATGTAGTTCTGAGTTTGGGGGAGTTTGGGAGCTTGTGTATTCGTGTGTTAGCTTGCAAATAACTTGTATAGTTATATGAAAGATATTTTTTGCACTTGAGGTAGTCATAAGCACAAGATATAGAGTTATAACTATGTTACTTGATTTTGAAGAAAAGCGAAAACATGGTTTCAAGGCATAGTACAAGCATGGCCTGAGTTTTTAGAGGCTCTAGACAAGTTTCTTATGGCTTTTAGATTGTGTGTGATCAGAAGAAACAAGTGCAAAGCTCAAGACAAGTTGACTTTGTGATTAAAGCCTCTTTACAAGAATGGAATGGTAACTTTATGCCATAAATGGAAATACAACTTGGATAATGGCTCAAATGCTTGGATCAAAGCTCTAACAGCTGTATAAACATTTAATTATGGAGTGACAAACAAGTTTGAGACCTACAAATCAAAGATTACGCAACCTAGGCTTGGATTTGAATTCTTGTTCATCATGGAAATGACCTATAATTCAAGAATGAATGTCCAACTTCTTGTCTTCGATTCTCTTTGCTCAAGCATGATCTCAATGAGTTCTTGGACATTTTGTAAATCTTGTAACATCCTATAGAACCTCTATGTTGGTCATTTTTGAAAATTCCTCTTGGAACTATGTGAAAAATTTCCATGAAGTTAGGTCAAAATCCTGCCTAAACTAGGGCAAAATTTCACTAAGTTTCCAAGTTTCATGAACATGCATTCACAAAATCATAACTTGAAATCCATGCATTTCTAGGAGAAGTTGTGTTCTAAAATGTTTTAGATCTTATTGAGATCTACAACTTTCATGTTGAAAGTTTCCTTTGAATCATCTTGGATCATGGTGAAAAATTGGCTCAAAGTTGTGAAAAAATATGAATTTTCAAACATTTAGAAAAATTTCTAAGTTTAGAAATTTTGACTTTTCAAAATGAAATCTTGACTTTTTGTTTTCTTGATGAACAAGTTTCATATTTTGACATGTTTTTATGAATTGTGATCTTTGATACTTGATTTTGACCAAAAAATCAAAGTTTGACTTTTCAGTGTATAATTGACTTTTGATCAGTTGACTGAAAATCAAATATCAATCAATTGATCTTGAGGGAAGTTTTGAGTCATGCCATTAGGTCAAAATGATGCAATTGAATCCTTGAGATCATGTCTCCAACCAATCAACCATTTGCTAGGTCAACAAAATAGAAATTGCACTTCCTCAGTCAAAACCCTAATTTTGACCATTTTGCCCTTTTTGATGATCTGTTCAAATTTCTTGAGGAATTGTGGTCCAAACTTGATTAAATGACATATATGAGTTCATAATATTAATATGGATAAAAAATTATGAAGTTTGACTGTAAATTCACCACAATTGACTTTTCCCCCAATACAACTGATTTTTAGGTCAACTAATCAATTGACTGAGCAAAAATGTGATCCAAGACTTGAAACTTGTCATGAGAAATCTTGAGAGTCCAAAATGATCAATGAAAGTCATATGGGGCATTAAAAGTCCATTTATCCTTGTGCAATCTCAAACCTTAATTTTCAGTCATCAGTGCTTAAGGAAGTGTCTTGAGCTGATCAAACCCTTGTGCAGTCTTGAACCAAAAGAGATTTTGTGAGAGATTACTTGATAAATGAGAGAGAAAATTTTGGTGTACAACACCCTTGAAAGTAGCGTTGTTTACCGAGTAATTGGGAAGACATTGCTGCTTTCGACCTGAGAACCAGAGAAACTGAGGGCCGTAGAACCATCAACCCATCCTGGCCTTTTTAGGTGTAGCCCGGAGACTATAACAGAGTAATTCAGAAATAGTTGTCACGCGATGCTACACTCGGACGAGTTTTTCCTGCGAATATTATTGATTACCGAGTAATTAGGATGTCGGTAATATCCAAAGGAAGAGCGTAGACTCTGAGATTTCCCTAAAACCTTGTTTGGCATGTGATAAACCCCTAGTACATACCTTATGGATGGTTACTTTGACTCCATGCCTGTGACGTCGGACTTTTGATCCTGTTACTTTCAGTTTATGCAAAGGACTACACAATAGTTATCTAGAATATGTGGAGCTGAAATCCCATGTCATAGCATACCATGACATCATATCATCATGTATATACATCTCATATCTAAGGAATTCCAAAGGCAAGTCTCGTTGGTCGAGCTCTTCAAAAATAAAAACAAATTTTAAAAAAAGGATAGACGAGTCTTTGGATTTCCTCGAAAATGAAGATAAAACATTCATTCATGCTATCATGCATTCATTATTCACGACAAAAATTTATTGGGGTCCCTTTTCCATCAGACATCAGTGAACAACAAAGACGACTTCTCCACATCCTTACCGTATAGGAAGCAACCAACGAAGACTTATGGATCTTTTCGAAGAGAATCAGAATGCTCTTCGCCGAGATATGAACAAATTTATTAGAACCACACTGCCATTTATATTAACAAATATATTCATCAAAGTAGATAACCTCAGAGAGACAAGATTAACAAAAAGGTGTCAACTCTCATTCTTCTTAGGGGTTCAGACCCACCGAAAGTCCAAGATACTTAAGGGTAAGGGAACTCATCTTACTGTGTAAAACACCCCCACCAAATCCAAAAAATTTCAATCCACATTCACATTAAATAGACAACTCTTGACAAAATTCACTTTGAGACCTAAGGCAAGCTTAAAACTCCTGAGATCTGTCTTGATCGTCAAAAGGTTATCTATAGACGACACTCCAATCAACATTGTGTCATCAATATATTAGAGAAGAGACACCTTAAGCTTATTTGAACCCACCTCGAACCCTTGTAGCGCACCCACCCAAACCTTCTTATTCAAAGAAGCACTAAGACCCTTTGCCACATGAAGAAAGAGGAAATGGGCCAAAGGGTCTCCCTGATTCAAACCATTATGAATACAAACCTCCTCAATTAGGCTCCTATTCATCAACACTGAGAGACTACTCGAAAAAACATAAGCATAAACCAAGACCTGTCACTAATCATCAAAACCAAATCTCTAAAACATTTAATCTAAGAAACATTAACTAACAAGAATCATAAGTCTTCTCAAAGTCTATTTTAAACAGACAACACTCTCACTTAGACATCTTAGTGTATGTTTGATGGGGCGTTGGATTTGACCGTAGGTTTGATTTTGACGAAGCTACAATGTTTAGCCTTTGCGTCAAAAGTCTCAAATAACTATCGAAATGTGACTCTAGATGTGCTTTTGGCATTAAAAACGCTTTACCAAACATACACTTACTAAAATCTAAAAACCTCATAGAGAGCGACCACATCATCCATCAGCTGCCTCCCTCTAATGAAAGTCGTTTGTTCTAGGAAGATAAGCTTCCCTATAACCCTAGCAAACCTAACAACGAAAACCAAAAAAAAAAAAAATCTAAAATCTCCCACTTTAACCATCAATTTGTAAAGAGAACCGGGAAGGAAAATATTTCCCTTATTCTAGTCTTCCTTTGCATTAGTTATACACCATCATTTCTTGCACCACTTTTTATTTATTAATATGCAATTTCTTCGTTTAAGAGGTACTATAAACAATAAAAACTACTCTAGAGAGCATGAAGTGTTCGCATGAAAAATTTGAGCTAACAAATAGGGATTTAAAATCGCATACCTCTCGAAGGAGGAATTTTCATCGAATGCATCAGACTTTTTTCACTCAAATGGCGTACGTCCAAACCAATGTTGGAAGCACCAGAATAGAGACTTGTCCTAGAGCAAGACAAGGGTCAGCCACGGTCTTCCCAAAGACCATGTCATGTCAGTGAACTCCACTGCAATTCCCCCAACGCAATACGACAAATCATTGTTGTACTTGTAAAAAACAATATATTCTCAACTTCTTCCTCTCTTCACATGAGAAAGCAAACCGTGCGGTTTCTTAAACTAAATTTAAGGTTAATCAAGTTTCATTCGAATATTGAATTTGTATACAATTCAAAGCAATGAGAGCGACCTATGAGAAACTCAATGGTAAAGGGTTTATAGTCTAAGAAGAATATATAAACTATAGTAAATATAAAAACAAAAATTAATATATGGGGCCAGAGAAACCCTAGCTAACTAGAGCCAGCAATGCAAAAGTAGGTACATCATCATCATCATGCATGTTACAATACTCTCCTCATCAAAACTATGATTGCTCTAGTACTTATCATCAAAAAAGAAAACCATTTCATTACTACTTTCAAACATCATTACTATTTAATATTAAAAATTTAAACAACACCTTCATTTTTACACCGACACTATGGAAAGAAGCTAAGCTTTTCGATCTACACAAAAGATTTAAATCAATCACATTTATAACACTTTTTTTTTTCTTCTGATCAACGAAAAGTAACAACACTTGTACACACCAAGAAAGAGAGAAAAAGAAGACAGTGACTAAAGCATGAAAGCTAGCATCCTTCTGCCAATATAGAACAAAAATTTGGTGTTATGAAATAAAAACCAAAAGAAAATGATGCTTAATAAGTTAATAGTAGTAGCAATGGAAATGGAATACTATACTTAATTATAACAAAAACATAAATGGTTCGGACCAAGGCGCTTGATTCCCCAAGAGTGTTGATGAGTATAGTTGGATCTTAGTAGCAAAAGCTATATAGAGACCCTAACTAAACACACTCTTTTTCACTCTATATATAAAAGTTGTGGAAGCTAGCTATCTAGGGTTTCCTTCTTTGTCTTTGTAGTCTTCTTGTGCTTGTTGTTCTTGAGTTAGTTTTGAGTGGTTCTTGTGATCGTCATGATAAAGAAAAGTATGGTGGAAGATGATGATGTTTGTGATAAAGAAAGAGGTGGGAGAGTAATGATGATGGTTAGGGTTTTTGGTCAGAGAGGATGAGGGAATAATGATGATTGGTGTTGGGTGAAGTCGTTGAAAGGTTGAAGAAAAATCCAAGGTAGTTCGTGCCATCTCTCTCTATGAGAAAAAGAAAGAAACTAGTAATTGATAGCTCTATCTTCTCTCTCTCTCTCTCTCCTTTTTCTATTGTGGGATCGAAGCATGAATGGATTATCATGAAAACCGTGGTGTCAACTTTTTTATGCCCTCCACTTCTTGTTCGCAACGAAAAGGAAACTACATGACCCCATCTCATTTTCCTAAGAGAAATAATTAAATTATCACATGTCACTTTAATCGATTATAAGATAGTACAATCATTACATTAAGATAACTCATGAATGTTTGAATGCAATGATTCAAATCTGTTCGATATAGTAACTAGACATATTGAGTTCTAATTCAACATTTCAAATGTTACACCTCTTAGTAAAAATACGAGTCACCCCATTTTAACTTTATCATGATTCAAGGTAATAGTTTTTGAATATATTTGATTTGGGGTGAAGAAAAATCAATTTTGAGCGAATTAATTAAGTAAAATTGATTTAGGTTAAAAACGACAATTTCAAGTACAATCAATTTTGTAAAGCATATTTGATTCTAGTCGAGAACATTTAAACATGTGAAAATCAATTTTAACATTTATAATCAACTAAGGATATTTCAAACAAGAAATAAACATACACTTTATTTTTATCCGCAAAAGATATTTCTTTTATATGAGATTTATGTTTAGTAAATTCGAATCGTTATATTTTTTTATTTTATATAAATATATTTTAATTTTTTAATAAAGATTATACGAAAATATCAGATAAACAAAAAATAAATTTCACGCTATTCCTTTTTTATGGTAAAATTAATCATATTAAAAATTATATTTATTATCATAGGAGACACAATATTGTTATGTATGAGCCTTTACACTCTATGTACAAGGTCCACTGCTTGCTTCTGATGTTAGAAAATCCAAAGTATCAAAAGCAAATGGTATGAAAGCATGTTGATTGTCAAAACATGTCTTCTCATGCTTGATCATTTTACTTGAAGCTGTATTTAGAGTTGTTTATCCCATAGTAAAACCTCCAGTCTTTAGTCTCACTAGCTAGCAAACCTCAATCAAGTCTACACATGTATGCTTTCCCTCCTACCCACTCATAGTCCAAAATATATTCTATGAACCGGTAAGAAACTCATAGACGCCTCTTTTTTAATAGATATTCCTATACACCGAAATATATCAAATAATATATTCTAACAAAAATATGACGGTATTTGAATTGTTATTTAGAATGGTAATAGGTTGGGCTGAGTTAGACTTTGCTAAGCCTAAATCTGCCATGCTAAAAGTATCAAAACTTAAGCCCAACGCGTAGCTTGTTATAGGCTCATTTTCAGGTATGAGTCTGACTTTTTCGAAAGCCTGATCGACATGCACTACAAGAAAGTATGAAAATTGCTAGGGGTTTTAGCCAGGGGTTAAACCCCTGAGAAAAAAAATCAGGTACACATGTGCAAAGCCCCTCGCAAAGTGCAGATTAGGGAAGAAAAAAATAAAAAACATATTGCGTGGGGTTATCCCTTGCAAAATTAAAAGAGAGAAAATTTAAATTTTAAAATAATCATTTGCGAGGGGCAACCTCCTGGGAAAAATAAAATGCGCGCAAATCTTTATAAATAGCGACGGGCAACCCCAAGCTATTTGTCAACGTGACAATAGCGATGGGTTACCCCTTCCATCTAGACAACTTTTGTCTACTCATGACAGTGTGCAGACTGCGCATGCAGGAGCCTTTTTTCAATGCATTATTTAGCGAGGCGCATCCCTACGCCACTTTTGAACGTTTTATTTCCGTTGGACTTCCCCTCGCTAATTTCAACCCAAATAATTGCAACACTTATTTACCCATTGTTTCAGTTTTCCTTCCATATTTTCCTCATCTCTTCCCCCATCCCTGCCTCTCTGCATGTTTCTCTTCCATTGTTCTTCTTCTCATTTTTTCCCCAAATAAAACCTAAAATTTCCAATCACAATCTAAAGATTTCAGATGAATAAATTAAATTATTTTGTTATGTATTTAATTTATTTTCAATATTAGTGTGTAATTTGTTCAGATTCTTATTTACAGTTACTATCTAAAGGGAGCTAAATTTTGGAAAAAACTACCAAAAGCTTCAAGAAACAACAGTTTATGTTCATCAATTTCAGGTTTTTATTATAAAATTTTCGTTTTCTGATATATTTATAGATATATTTGTGTATATATTTGTATTGTGATATTTAGTTTATAAATTGAAGAAAAAAATTTAATTTTTTTCGAAATTATTTATATATATAATAATTAAAAAAAATATATTATTTTTTGATACATGTGATATTTGGTTTATATATTATTATTTTTTAAATAAATGAAAAAGTAATATATATATATATATATATATATATATATATATATATATATATATATATATATATATATATATATATATATATATATATATATATATTATTGAAAAATATATTATTGAAAATATACATATATATATACATAGAATAATTGAAAAAATATATTATTTTGTGATATATATTAAAAAACAATATATATAATTAAAAAAAATAAAATTCATAATAAAAATATATTTGAAAAACAATTTTTATAATAAATATGTATGTATAAAAATAATATGTATAATAAGTATTTATAAATAGTATATGTATATAAAAAATAATATGTATAATTTTTAATATATATGTATAATATGTATGTACAAAAATAGTATAAAAATTGTATGTATAATAAGTATTTATAAAAATAGTATATGTAAAATAGTATATGTATGAAAAACAATATATATAATTTTTAAATAAAATATATAGTTTCTAAAAATATATATTTTTATATAAATAGTATATTTTTTTGAAATATGTAAATACTTATGTATAAAATAGTAAACATAATCTTTATGAAATATGTATAACTTTAAAAAAAATAGTTTCTAAAAAATATATATTTTTATATAAATAGTATATTTATTACTTAAATAAATACGTCGTATATTTCTAAATGAAAAGAAGATAGTTTATGTTTAGGATTAAAAAATTATTGAAAGTTTATTGTCGATAGATCAATTCTTATTTTATTTAATAAAATTAAACACGAACATGTGCAGTATGAAATATTATCAATTCTATCGTAGTTGGATGTATGATAGATCGTTTTCTGGAAGACGTGGGTTTAAATCGCATTTTAAGGAAGGAGTTGTCGGATTTCTCCCGTATGTGTTTGGTCAAGAATGTTGTCGAAGCGAAGGAGGGGTAAGATGTCTGTGTTTAAAGTGTGGTTGCAGAAATATTATTAGTGACCCTAGTGAAGTGAAACGTCATTTGGAGAAAGTGGGTTTTAGGCCAAATTATTGGGTTTGAACTTCTAATGGGGAAAAATGCCAGAGATGAATATAGAGGCTTCTAGCAGTCAAACACGTGTTGGACCAGATATAAATACAGATGATCCAGAGAGTTCATCACATATGCAATGCCAGGAATAATTTAATCTAGTCGAGGATATGGTCAGTGACGCATTAGGGGTGAATGTGACTTATCATGAACCTCAAGACTTTGACGCAGAAGAACTCCCAAATGAGAAAGCACAAAAGTTTTATCAGTTGTTGAAAGAAATAAATATACCATTGTTTAAGGGGTCTCTTGACTCTAGACTATCAATGTGTGTTAGGCTTTTGGCTGCGAAATCAAATTGGAATGTTCCTGATCAGTGTTTAGAATTCTTTGCGAAAATGATGTTGGACGCGACTCCTGTGAAAGAAAACATGCCTACAAGTTATTATGATGCAAAGATGATGGTATCGAAGTTGGGACTAGAAGTAAAAAAGATTGATTGTTGCATTAGAGGTTGCATGTTATTTTATGACAACGAGTTTGGTACAAATGATGAAGAATTAGAGGAATGTAAGTTTTGCAATAGTATGAGGTATTTAGTTCGCAGTAAAGGAGCTGATCAAAAGCAAAAACGAGTTGCAGTGAAGTCCATGTTCTATCTACCAATAATACCTAGGTTGCAAATAATATTTTCATCAACGCACAACGCAAGTCAAATGTCATGGCACCATACAAACATATTTAGTTTTGGCATGATGCGACATCCATCTGATGGCGAGGCATGAAAACACTTTGATAGAGTTGATCCTGAATTTGCAGCAGAACCCAGGAATGTTAGACTTGGATTATGCTTGGATGGTTTCACTCCTTATAATTTGTCAGCAAATGCATATTCTTGTTGGCCAGTTATTGTTACCCCGTACAATCTCCCTCCTGAGATGTGTATGACGAAACCTTACATGTTTTTGACATGTATCATTCCAGGACCGTCGAGTCCAAAGGCAGGAATAGATATTTATCTGCAGCCTTTAATTGATGATCTCAAGAGGTTGTGGGTGAGAGAGTGGACTTATGATGTGGCACGTGAATAAAACTTTAATATGCGAGCTGCTTTGATGTGGACAATTAACAACTTTCCTGCATATGGAATGTTGTCTGGATGGGGTACGCATGGTAAAATGGGATGTCTACATTGCATGGGTCACACGAAAGCGTTTACTTTGGATAAGGGTAGGAAAAGTTCATGGTTTGACTGTCACCGTAGGTTTTTACCTGCAAACCATGAGTTTAGAAGAAATAAGAATGCTTTTAGAAAAGGAAAAAAGAGTAACAGATCTACCTCCCCCACGATTGTTATCGACTGAAGTATGGAATAATGTTCGTGACCTACCAAAATTCACAGATAATGGTGAAGCACGTAGAATTCAAGGATATGGGGATTCTCACAATTGGATAAAAAGAAGTATTTTTTGGGACCTCCCCTATTGGAAGGATAATTTGTTGAGACACAATCTTGATGTTATGCATATTGAGAAGATTTTTTTTGATAATGTATTTAACACAGTGATGGATAATGAGAAGACGAAAGATAATGATAAGGCTAGAAAAGACATGGAACTTTTGTGTAATCCAAAAGAATTGGAGTTGAAACCTCGACCAAATGGAAATTTATTAAAACCCAAGGCTTGTTACACTCTTACTCCCAAAGAAGCAAAAGCAGTATGTCGATGGTTAAATGATTTGAGGGTGCCTGATGGTTATTCTTCTAACTTGGCAAGATGTGCTGACGCCTTAACAGGGAAGATGCATGGAATGAAAAGTCACGATTGTCATATTTTCATGGAACGATTGCTTCCAAT